TTTTTCAAGTGTTATTGTTTCCAATGCTAAAAATTGTTGTGAAAATTTTTTTTTCTTCTTTATAAACCCTAAAAGTTTATTATTCTATTATTCTGTGCGTATGTTCTGGTCAACCATGCTGATATGCTTGTGTGCAGTTGCCACTTTGCCAGTTACTTTGTTCGTCTCTACTGTTCATATGCAGCATCAAAAAATGTATATCTCTTTGGGACCCGTAACATTGTTAAACAATAAAATAAAAGAAGCGTTATGTATAAATCTAGATTATATTATTATATACCTTTGTAGTGTATAGAGGTCTAGAAAAAATATTGATTGCCAACGAGATACTATATGTAGGTATATTGCCTCTAGGCCAGTATTTTTATATATGCTGAATAACAAATAACGACTATCTACTAAGCATAGGCCTGGTGAAATACGCTAACACTTATGTTATCCAGAAAACTATAATCTAATTTCAAATAACCTATTGCATTTCATTGAGGAACAAATTTCACTAATATAATGTTATGTATTGTGTCCCAATGTGGCAATGTCACGACTAAAATCTGAAATCCCATTGATATTAATATTTAATAATTTAATATAAAGTATATAACATACCTAATATTATATAATTTTAAATTGTATTTAAATCGTATACGGTACACACAATCTTAACCCAAGAAAATAGTAAATGCACATAAAACTATAATACAATATGGTATTGTGTGTTGTTATTTTGTACGAGTTATTCATTGATGATATAGCTGACGATTAACTCTAAAAATATGTGTATGTATCTACCTTTAGCATCAAAAATAGATAAACATTAATCATTATGGTTTTGAATATTAAGACTTTAATAGATTGATAAAAGCCTTTACATGAAAATTAAAAATACTTAAATTTTCGTTGCAATGGTCCATATCTAAATCATTGGTTTGATAACCATTAATAAAGACCAACATTATATTTTAAAATATCTTTTATATAACCATGGTGTTAATGAAATTTCTTTATAAGTATTTTTTCTTTAATGTTAATATTTAAAGAGGGTTGAATGCCTTGTCAAACGTTTAACGTGGGTACTGGGCACGTTGGGTCGATGTTCGTTAGGAAGGATGATCGAATCATCCGTGATACCTATTACGTGATATTTGAATAGCTTGTATATCATATAACACTAGTAAGATCTGACTTATATTATATCATACTTATCATACAATTTACACCATTTTAGTTTTTTTTTTTACCAGAAACTTGTAGGGAAATTTATATTTTCATATAGGTTACATAATAATATTTTTTCGAAAATCCATACTATTTATTTACTGMAATCGAACATTAAATGTACCCTAACATTCCATTATGTCACATATTGTTTATCACCTATTGAATAAATAATAATTCTTGTTCAATAATACCGTACATTATATTGAATTTGAATGCGTCTGGTCTCTATATAACTGTATCTATATTTAAAATAATTAATACAGAAAT